TTTAGAGAGAGAGAGAGAATATGTGCAGGAGTGGTGGGGGAAGGGCAGAGGGAGAGAGAAAATCTTAAGCAGACTCTACGTTCAACATGGAGCCCCATGCGGGGCTCAATCTCACATGATTTGAGCTGAAATCAAGAGTTGGACACTTGACTGCCTGAGCCACCTAGGTGCCCCTTGATGTAAAATTTCTAATTTTAGTTGAATCGTTTATTTTAATTTTCCCCAATTTAACAAAGGCTTAAAAGCTAAAAAGTTGCCTGTGTTTTAAATAAAGTTTTGTCTAAATTTTGTAAATTTTACATGGACTATTCTCAGTGCTGTTATTGCCCAAATAGCCAATGGTAGTAATTTTTAATCTGTTGTGGGTCCATTAGTTGCTCCTATTAGTTGTTGGTTTCTTCTTTTTAAATTTTCAATCAGTTAGGGTTTTATATGTTTAACTTCTCTTACTACTTTCAGGTTTTCTTTTTTTGCTCTGGTAGGGTAATGTGCTCTATAAATTTGTACATTTTTGAAATCTGTTGACCGTGAGAGACAGAAAGACTCCTGTGACGTTCTGTAATGATTTTCAATGAAAAAAATAATGAAACCCCTTCTTTACTGATGATATATAGATCCATTATGTAAAATCAAAGAAGTTTTTCTGTTTGAGGAAAGTGTGGGGGGAGGAGAGAGGCTAGAGACCCACCAAACTTCCCCTTACCTTCCCTAAAGAGCAGCTTGGAGTCTTTGGAGTTACCTGGATAAGATTTAAAAACTGCTGCTCATTTATAAAATGTTTTATATGCATCTATAAAGTTAAATTTTTATTATTAAAAATTTTCCCCCCAAGTCAATCTGTTAATGACTGAAATAGTGTGTTTCAGTCTCAACAAATGCATTTCTCTGACCTCTCCCTGAATTACTGAAGCTTTTACTTTGTATATTTCAATTCTCTGGAATTTGATGATTAACATTTTGTATTTACTCTCTTCATCACAGGCAGCATCACTTAGTAACATAAAATTACTGACATGGTTCCCTTTTAAAGCTTTTCCCCTGGAATCTTTTCTCTGAACTAATAATTGCTACTATTACATCTGAGTTTGTCTGATATACCTTTGATTGTTCTTTTACTTTTACATTAAAAAAAATCTACTAAAACTATATTTCTATTCTTACAGAATACACACATGCAGGCATAACAGTATATATGTAAAAGTATATGTGTATCTATATATATCATCTGTATGTAGGCACATAAACTATATCTTTCCAGTCTATCAATTCTGTATTTCTTAATCTCATGTACACTTAAATTTTAAACTTTTTTCTGGGTTTCATTTTTAAACAATGTTTTTAATTTTTTTCATATTTGTAAACATCATTTACCTTACTAGGGTTAGCCTTTTTTCTTTTATGATGAATCTTACCTAAGATATTTTTAAACTGTTAGTCTTACAGGCATTTTATTTCACTTTCCATTATAATTAAAAAATAATAATAATAGATAGAGAAGGGGAATGGTAGAAAGAACAGACTTCAAAACCAAGAGAAGATGGAGAACATCTATAGCAACCCACCTCTCTGGCTTCTTCAGTGAGTTTTCCAATATACTTAGCTCCACGAAGGATAACACTGGATTTCACCCTCCCCAGGGATCATAACCTCATTATTCTTGGGGCATAACTGAATGGTGAACCTTATTTCTCTGATCATTCAGCTTTTATGAGAAACTTTGTGTTTTAAAATCTATGGTCAATCACTTTAGGTTAAATTCAGATGGCCACCTGGAATGTTATTCAATTTTAAGCCAATTAAAAACATTTTTAAGTGATCTTAAATTTTATGTGTTCTACTCTGCTTTATTTCTAGATTCCAGTGTCAGGCCTCTGAGGTTTTAGCACCCTAATTAATTTAAAGTCTGGTCTCTCTGGTGGGCTCTAATCTTTGCTTTCTTGTTTACTTTTATCAATTTGAAGATTAGTCAGAAGGTAGAGTTCACTCAACTTTTTAAAGATTCATTGTTTATATCCCCTTCACAAACCTAGTAGTTTATTAGACCAGATATTTTACTTGATTGATGATAAACTTGAGCTTCTCAGGTTCCTTCACAGTAGAGCAGCTGGGTCTTAGGCAGGGCTCTTCTGTGAGTGACCACAATCACTCCATTAAGAAAACCCAAAAATGGGGTGCCTGGGAGGCTCAGTAGGTTAAGTGTCTGACTTCAGCTTGGGTCATGATCTCAGGGTCCTGGGATCAAGCCCCGCTTGGGGCTCTGCGCTCCCTGGGGAGTCTACTTCTCCTTCTTCCTCTGCTTCTGCCCCTGCTCATGCTCTCCCCCCCACCAAATAAATAAACAAAATCTTTAAAAAACAAAAAAAACCTAAAGCTACTTGCAGTTTTTGCGACCACCCTCTTGGCCTTTGGTTGACACAACCACATTTAATTGATTAACACTCAAAAGATTAGAACGTAAGAAACAGAATCAACAGTAAAACATACCTGTGTCATTCTGGGGTGGAGGTTAAGTGGAGGAGCTGAGAGGAGCTGTGAGCATTCAAATGTATTATTAGGCTTACCAAATCCCTGCTTCTGTTTCCTAGCCCCTTGAAAGCAATTCTGAACATTATTTAATCTTTATTTGAGAATTTGTAAGGATCTTCAGAGACAATGGGTCATAGATCTCTACTATACATACATGTCTAAGTGTTAAAAATTTGGTGTTGGAGAAAACTAAAATAGGGTAAAAGTTAGATAACTATCATGATGGAAGGACAAGCAATTAGAAATGGAAGTAAAAATCCAGAGTTTTTATATTTCAAGCCATATAATCTTTAATAGTGCTGAAGTAAATTATGAGCGAAACACAAAGCCAGGCACACATAGAAATCACCTAAAACAACAGGAAAGAACTTTTTTTTTTTTTTTTTTTGTATACTCGCCCAATGTCTTGAGAAAAAACTAGGAACCCAGGTGGGTTTTTATGTCTATAAAATTTTTTTCTCTTCTAAATTACATTTAAATGAAAAAAAAGGAAAGAAAGCTAAACAATAATAAGCTTTGTTGGTAGGTCTATACTATTTGCATACATCCTTGGGAAGAGGTAGCAAACAAAATTTCTGCAACATTAAGTGATGCTTAGAGAAAAATGAAATCACAGAGTGATGCCAGGACTGATTATTCCACTGCACTTGAAAAGCAGAGATTGCAGTCTGTGAGTCCAAAGTGGTTTCATATGGACTGCTGCAGTTGTGGTTTATGCTTGAAACTATAACCTGTCAAATTAGAAGCAGGCAAGGCCGATGCTGTTAACGGTTCCACTTTCTACTGTCTGCAGTTATGTCTATAAGTTCAGCACTTTTTATTCAGTTAAACTCTGTTATTTGGATGAGTAGAATCTCAAAACTGCTCTTTGTTATCTTGGTTAGAGAAGATTTTAGTTATGATAGAAAGCTTAAAGACCTGCCAATCTGATTTTTATTACATAGATGAAGCTGACTTGCGTTGTAACCATTTTCACCAACTATTGATATTTTATTATCCTGGTTACCACTATGTAATAGGTAACTACAGAGAAGAGGTAGATAAACTACATCAGTTCCCACGCCCTTCCTCGTCTGCCTTTCCGGTTACTTTATTGACTTTAACTTGCACCTTACTGACTCATCATTTTTCCAAGCCTACAGTAGCCTGCTATTATGAGCTTAGTGTTACAACATGCTCCATTTCTTCTCTTCTCCTTGATTATGGAATGCCCTTCCAGGCAGTGGGCTTGGTTGACAGAGATTTTCCCATCAAAACTGAGAAGCTACTTGTTCTATTTTATTAATGTTTCACGCAGAGTCCTTTCTTAGTGAATCTTTCTTAATGCCCATTAGTGTAATATAAAAATGTTTTTTTAAAAAAGCATAAACAATATTTGCTCTGTGTATAATGCATCGTAAGTGAAACCATGCCACTAAACAATCATATCCTGTTTAGGCCATAATGAAATCAGAAATATATGTTTATCATCTGCTTTGGACAACTGAGCATGATTTTGGCCCACGGCGAAGTTGAACTAAAACCATTTGCAGTTGCCCCAAACCAAGATAACCACACATTTTTAAAGTAATTGATACCTAAAGAGAACATTGCCTTTAGATCACAGTTCATGATCTAAGCATACTAATTCTTTAAAGAAGGTTGTTAAAGCTTATAAAGCATGTATGTCTATTGGACTTCCTCCAGAATTTAACATGAAATAATTATATTTTTAGCATGCATAAAGATTATTAGCATGGTCTTTTGGATTTTTGGAATTACTTCTCTTGCCCAATTTAAAGAGAAGGGGAAAATGAAGATTTTTTTTACATGTAAAAGTATAATAATAAGAAGGGTGATAAGAATAATGCTTTGTATTTTGGAAGGCACTCAAATAAAATCAGTCATTTTCATTTTTGAATATTTAAGGAAACAATAATTTTATGAATAGATAGCTTAGGCAAATAGAAGGAGCAGAATTTTCATATGTGTTGTGAAAACATATCCAGGGAACCCAAACACACGGGACTAACTTTGTGTTACAGGGCTATAAGCACGTAATTGCCCTGGATACTACCTTAGCTAGCGAGTCTATTCATAGCCTGAAAGACAGCTCTTCATGCTATATGCCAACACGAAAGCAGGAAAATTACCTTTGCCCACAAAGATAACTAGATGATTTGGAACAAAAAATAAGTTTGAAATAAAATAATATCAGTAAAAGTTAGGCTTAGCAAGAAGCTTAGGGAAATCTACTCATATTTAGAGGAGGAAAGAGAGAAACAGAGCACTGAAGTTGTCTTCCAAAGTCTTGTCTGAAGGCAGAGTACGACACCCTTAGAGGGAGACTCTGCTGCACCATGCTACTTTCAGACATGCAAACACACTGTTCTGGGCAATTCAGATAACAATTAAAGAACATAAGAATAGAACCCAATAGCATAAGCACTGCAATGGGTATTCTATTACTGTAAGAAGGGAAGAGTATACTGTACCTCCATTCTTTCTTGTTTAACTTCATCAATCTCATCATCTTCAAACATTGCCAGGAGTTCTCCTGTTTGGTCAATAGAGCTGAGAAAGTCTTGGGCGATTTTCTGTCTTTTGTTTGCATTATTGCTGCCACTCAGTTTGTCTTTGTGAACATAAGGGAAGGAAAAAAATGTGCTTAGTAGGTTTATATCAACACCAATCACTACATGTATTGAATACTGCATGTGAAATTCAGAATTGGAGTTCTCTCGAAATAATCTTTAAAGGGAGAATCTTTGCATCCAAAACAAAAGCATAAGCCATGCAGAATTAAATCATTTATAAGGTTGAGAGGATAAAAAACCAAATTGTCAATTAACATAGTAAGTGTGAATGGACTGTTAAAATTCCTTACAAAAAAGAGTCCTTTCAGATTTAGAAAAAGAATCCTGCTATAGCAAGGCTAATTAAGAAAATAAATAAAAACAAAGACATAAATAAATAGCATAAAGATTGAGATGTGATATTAAAAGGAAAGAATATTATGTATTTTATTGTGGCAATATATTTGAAGACTAAAGGGACAAGATCTCACACTTTTTCTCTTAAGAGGTAAAACTATCATGCTTATCTAAAAGCAAAACATAACTTTTAAAAAGTTATTGCCAAAGGTCAAGAAGGAGTTTAATATTGCAATAGGTAATTAATAGTTTAATGCATTAATATCAGTGTGGATTAGGGAGAAAGAACTAGATTATTTTTTATTTTTTTTAAATATTTTATTTATTTGAGAGAAAGAATGAGAGAGAGAGAGAGAGAGAGCATGAGAGGGGGGAGGGTCAGAGGGAGAAGGAGACTCCTGCTGAGCAGGGAGCCCGTGAAGGACTCGATCCTGGGACTCCAGGATCATGACCTTAGCCGAACGCAGTCGCTTAACCAACTGAGCCACCCAGGTGCCCAAGAACTAGATTATTTTTTAAAGTGATAAAATACATGGGCAGATACCAAATAAAGAAAACCCAAATATCTTAGGGTGAAAGCATCCAATCTTTCACCATTGAGTATGATGTTAGCTGTGGGTTTTCCACAGATGGCTGTCTTGGGTCTATTTATAGCATAGACCATAATAAATATATAAATATATCACAGACTGGATGGCTTAAAAACAAATATTTATTTCTCACAGTTCTAGAGGCTGGAAAGTCCAAGATCAGGTGCTGGTAGACCTGGTATCTGATGACTGCTTCCTGGTTTGCAGATGGACTGTCTTCTCCTATCCTCACATGGCCGAGAGCAAAAACAAACTCTCCTGTGTCTCTTCTTAGAAGGGCACTAATCCCATTCATGAAGGCCCCTCCCTCATGGCGTCGTAATTGCTTTCCAAAGGCTCTACCTCAAAATACCATCACATTGCAGATTGGGCTGCAACATAACAATCAATTCTGGCGGGACACAAACATTCCATTCATAGCAATGAACTTAATTAATCAAGTTGAGAAAGTTCCCTTCTCAGTTTTTTGAGTGTTCCTCTCATGAAAGACTTTTGAATTTTTTTTCTAATGATTTGCCTACATTTATTGAGATGATCATGTGATTTATGACCTTTATTCCACAATACGATGTATTACACAAATTGTTTTTTAATTTAAACCAATCTTCCATTCCTGGGATAAACCCCATTTGGTCATGGTGTATAATCCTTTTTAAATGTTGCTGGATTTGGTTTACTACATATTCTGTTAGGGATTTTCACATCTATATTTAAAAAGACACTACAGCATCCTACTGAATGGGAAAAGATATTTGTAAATGATGTATCTGCTAAGGGGTTAATATCCAAAATATACAAAGAACTTATACAATTCAATAACAAAAACCCCAAAATAATCTGATTAAAAATGGGCAAAGGACCTGAATAGATATTTTTCAAAGAAGATATACGGGTGGCCAACAGACATGTGAAAAGATGCTCAACATCACAAATCAGGAAAATGCAAATCAAAACCACAATGAGAGATCACCTTACACCTGTGAGAATGGCCAGATTTAAAAAGGGCAAGAAATAACAATGTTGGTGAGATGTGGAGAAAAAAGAAACCCTCGTGCATTGTTGGTAGGAATGTAAACTGATATAGCCACTATGGAAGATGGTATGGCGGTTCTTCAAAAAACTGAAAGTAGAATTACCATATGATCCAGTAGTTCTACTACTAGGTATTTACCCAAAGAAAATAAAAACACTAATTCAAAAAGACAAATACACCTCTTTGTTTATTGCAGCATTATTTATAATAATCAAACTATGGAAACAACCAAAGTGTCCATCAATAGATGAATGGATAAAGAAGATGTAAACACACACACACATAATGGAATATTACTCAGCCCATACACACAAAAAATGAGATCTTGCAATTTGTAACAAAATGTATGGACCCAGAGGGTATAATGCTAACTGAAGTACTTCAGAAAGAGAAAGACAATCTCATGATTTCACTCATATGTAGAATTTAAGAAACAAAGAAAAAAAGGCAAATGAAAAAACAGACTCTTAAATACAGAGAACAAACAGGTGGTTGCCAAGGGGGAGGTGGGGTGAGGAAATGGGTGAAATAAATAAAGGAGTTTAAGAGGTAGAAACTTCCAGTTACAAAACAAGTAAGTCATGGAGATGGAACGTACAGCATCGGGAATACAGAAAAGCAATGTATTAGTCTTTAGTTTTCATTTTGTGTGATATCTTAGTCTGGTTTTCATATCAGAATAATACTGGCCTTGTAGAATGAGCTGGGAAAGGACTGGTGTTAATTGTTCTTTAAACATTTGGTAGAATTCATCATAAGGTCATTTAGGCCTGGGTTTTTCCTTGGGGAAGTCTTAAAAGTACTAATTTAAATAATTTACTTGCCATAGATCTACTCATATTTTCTGTTTCTTCTAGATTCAGTTTCAGTAGCTTGTGTTTTCATAGGATAGAAAGTAGATATTTATAGAATTGGTTATATTAACCATTGTATTTACCATTTCTGCTTCTTTTCATTTCTTTCTGCAATTTGAGCAGCCATCCTGTGTCACTCCTTCCTCCAATACAGCTTTGTTACCACTTGCCTCACTTATGTTGTTACTGTCAAATATATTGTAATATATATCTACATGTATGTATCTACATATATCTACATGTTACAGACTTGACATTACAATTATATATATTGTTTCATAGTTTTTTTAAATCAGTTAAGAGGAAGAAAGGAAAAAATGTGCAATTATATTGTCTCTTATGTTTTACTTACATAATTACCTTTACAGGTACTTGTGTGTGTGTGTATGTGTGTGTGTGTGTGTGTGTATGGAATCAAATTATTGTCTGGTGCCACTTGCTTGAGCCTGAAGAACTTACTTTCATATTTTTTTATGTGGATTTGCTACCAAGAAATTCACCCAGTTTTTGTTTATCTGGGAATATATTTTATTTTGCCTTCACTTTTAAAAGATAGTTTTGCTGGGTATGTTTCTTGGTTAACAGTTTTTTCTTTCAGAAATTTGAATATGTCATTCCACTGCTATCTGACCTATATTGGTGGGTTTTTTTTTTTTTTTTTGATCTATATTGTTAATGAGAAATCAGCTGTTAATACTTCTGGAGTTCGATTGTATGTGATGAGGTGCTTTTCTCTTGCAGCTTTTGTGATTTTCTCTTTGTCTTAGTCTTCCTACATTTCTAGAAGAATATGTGTGAATGTGGATCTCTATGTGATTATCCTAATTGGAGCCCCTTTAGCTGCTTGGATGTAATGATTTTCATCAAAGTTGAGAAGTTTCAATCACTATCTGTTTGAAGATTTTTTCTGCTCCTTTTTATCTTTTTCTTTCCTTCTGGTAGTCCCATTGTGTACACGTTGGCTCATATCAGGATGCCTCAAATTTCTCTGTTAATTTTTCTTCATTCTTTTTTCTCTTTGTTTTTCAGACTGCATAATCATTAACAGTCTTCAAGTCCACTGATTCTTTCTTCTCACTTTAAAGCTACTTTTGAGCCTCTTCACTGAATTTTTCATCTTAGTCATTGTGCTTTCCAACTCCAGAATTTGCATTTGTTTCTTTTTTATGATTTGTATCTTTATTTTATTTTATTTTATTTTTTTTAAAGATTTTTATTTATTTATTTGAGAGAGAGAGAATGAGAGAGAGCACATGAGAGGGGGGAGGGTCAGAGGGAGAAGCAGACTCCCTGCTGAGCAGAGAGCTCGATGCGGGACTCGATCCAGGGACTCCAGGATCATGACCTGAGCCGAAGGCAGTCGCTTAACCAACTGAGCCACCCAGGCGCCCCTGTATCTTTATTTTAATCATTTTTAAAATTTTTATTTAAATTTCAGTTAGTTAACATTCAGTATAATATTAGTTTCAGGTATACAGTATAGTGATTCAACATTTCCACACAACAGCCAGTGCTCATCATGACAAGTGTATGCCTTAATTTCTCTTAATTGATATTTTCTATTTTGTGAGACACTGTAATCATACCTTCCTTTTGTTCCTTAAAAATGGTTTCCTTTGTTCTTTGAACACATTGATGATGGCTACTTTGAAGTTTTTGAGTGCTAAGTCCAACATCTGGGCTCCCTCAAAGGCAGTTTGTGTTGTCAGCTTTTTGTTCCCTTTTTATGGATTACACATTCCTATTTTTTTGCTTGTCTAGTATTTAGTGGTTACTGTTGTTGAAAATGGACATTTTATCTTATAGCAACTCTAAATAATAATTCCCTCTTCTTCCTGGGGCCTGTTGTCATTGTTTGCTTGTTTGGTTGTTTGTTTAGTGATTTGGCTTGACTGGTTCAATAAAATCTTTTTCCCTCACAGCATGTGGCCTCAGAAGTTGTTCCCCAGACAGCATAACTGTGAGCATGCAACTGGTCTCCTCAATCACCAGGGATGACTGTGGTGTTAGTCAGGTTCTCTTTGGCTGTCACTTTCCCTGATCTCTATTAAGTTTCTGGCTGGTTTAATTCTATGGGTCTCACATACAGCTTTTAGCTTCCACTGACTTCTGGCTGATTGCTCTACTGTTTTTGATAATACTCTTGGGCATTTTCCACAGATTGGTCTGAATAATGTCAGGCCCCTTTGCAGAGTCCATATATTGCCAGCCTTTACATTTTGCTCTGACCCCAGAAAGACTCTTCTTAGCTGTCTCTTCCATTTGTTTCCTCTGTTAAACCTTTAGCTGACACACTGTTTTGTTTGTTGTTACTCATATCACACAGCTTCCAGCTTCCTCTTAATTACTAACCATCAGGATTTCCATAGTTTTCTATACCACCCTTAGGTATGAACTTCCACATGCTCTGTTCTAAAAAGTCAGTCCTCATAGAAAAAGCTGCAGAACTCTCTGTTATCAAAGTCTGCCTCTCCCTCTGGGCTAAACCTCTGCATCACTGTACTGGAGCTGAGAGTAGAAATAGCAGTTGGCTTTTCCTAGAAAGACTCCTAGATCTGTGAGTGAAGAGCCAGGCAGGGATGGTAGTCCACTGTCTTCTAGGCTTGTCCCTTCTGGTGTGGAACTTTTTTCCCCATGAGCAAGCTAGGGTGGGGCAATCAGGGCCCAGTATTCTTGGCCTACCATGGCTGGGGTAGAGCTTTCCTATGAACAGAGAATGAGTGGAAGCTCCAGTCCTTTTAACTGTGCCTGCATGGAATAGAGCTTCTGCAACATGAAGCCAGAGGAGATGAGAGATGCCAACCTCCTGAGGGGAAACTATTGCCCTGGACTGGTAGCTGAAGAATCAGGTGTCCAATGTTCTTGGAAACACTTGCCCAGAGTAAAGCTTCTACCATACTGAGCTGAGGTGCCACGAGGGAAGAAGAGGGGTAATGGGAGCAGGTCATGGCTCAAATCAAACAGACTCTCACTGTTATTAATGAGATTTGGATTTTCTTAAATATGTACTTCTCCATTTGCTATATACACTTAGGAGAACTTCTAGAGACTTTAAGCCATTACTTTTTAAAGTTGTCACCAGTAAAATGTGTTTCACTGGGGAAAGAGTCTATCCTCATATGGCCATTCTCCAAAGTCCCACCTCAGTATTAGATATATTTTACTGGAGTACTTTATCTTACAAGTTATATCAACTATTTTAAAACTTTATATGACACAAAAAACTAGATAATTTAAATGAAAATAAAGAGATGAGATCTGAAATAAATAAGGAGGAGAAGGCATCAGACTGATAGGATAGTGTTAGTACAACTGAATACTAGTCTCACCACTCCGAGCTTCTTGGTGTTCTGAGTTTGGTATTAAAAGCTATCATTTATTCAATGTCAGGGATGTATCAGGTTATTTTCATACATTATGTTAAACTCTCATAAGAACTCCACCATGAGTGGTATAATTTTTGACTTACGAGAAAACTGATCCTCAAGTTCACATAGAGAGAAAGCAGACAATTGGGACTGACTGGAATTCAGGTCTGTATTCTTTATGCTCTTCAAATAAGGAAGCATTTAAATTCATCTGGAGAACTATTTTTCAGAAATTAAATTCTATGAGAATTGCAGACATATTAAATAGGCAACACTGATTAAACATTTGATATGAATATCTTTTCTTTCTTTCTTTCTCTCTTTTTTGCATGGTTATTACACTTGCTTATTTGCTGACAGTAAATCAAAATTTACTTCTAAAATTTGTTAACTCTTCAGTTGGTTTTGAGCAGTTTTCTGAAGTTCTTAATCCAGTAGAGTTTGTTTATTTATCAATGTCTTTATTAGCAATGGATACCCACTATGCAGTGACTATATTCAATGCAAAATATATGAGTTATTCTAAAACACACATATTTATTTTGACTCAGTAAGTATTGTTTAGTATGTTTCTGCTTGCAGCTTAGCACTGCTTGATTCTGCAACATTAATATTTTTTTCTAAATATTCTGAAATGGGGAACTGAGTTGGAAAATCAGATAAAGAAAATTTTCTACTCCGTGTTAGGCTGTTGGTAAGATTTCAAACAGCATAGTAATAACACACCAAAATGAGGTGACTTTACATAACACTGCATATCAGATACTTTCTATAATAAATTAAGAAAAACCCATATGTCAATTTCAGAGATATATTGTTAACAGTTCTGGCTTCCTACGCCCATGACAGAAAAATTATGCTTGCTAAGATTAATTATGTTTTGAATCAACATGATTTTCTCAGTTTCATGACATTCTGATATAAAACAGGCCATATGATTAAAAGAACTGACACAGCAGATTACTACGAAGCCATGTAAATAGAAAATCACAAGATTTAGCTGCCAACTAAATATATATTTGGATAATTTCTGAGCTACATTATTTAACAGTAGCACATATATTCTTCTGTGATGGGAAAGTCCACAATGACATTGTATCAGTGTGTCACCCAGCACGTACATGTCACATTGCTCTCAGTTTAGTGTTTTGTTTTTTTTTTTTAGGTTACCTTCCAGAAGGTCATCCTCATCTATGCCCTTGACAATCTTGGATTTGTAGTCTCGGAAAAACATGTACTTTAGGAGTCTTCTAAGCTTTTTCTGTTAAAAAAATGAAATAAGAAATCTTATACATTACATTCACTTTACTGATTATAGAATACTATGATAACTAAATTTAATAAACTTGTATTCTAGGATCACTGCGAAAAATACAGCAATTCTTAGCATAATACTATGGAATAAAAGATGTCATCATATTAAACATAAAAGCTAAAATACAAGCATTTTAAAAAGCACTTTTCATTTGTAAGTATCCAAAATGCTCCAGAATTACAGTAATTGCTTTTTCTTTTTTTGGTCTTAAAAAAGTTTTAAATTCTTCCTGAAGATTGTGATAAGTATCACACTCTCCATACTAAGATAGCTATAGTGATTTATAAACATCTAGACAAGGATTTTGTAACAACTGCTTTAAAAAGCCAAGCAACTCTCCTTTTCATTGTTTTTTATTCTCTGGAAAAAAATTTTTTCTTTTTTTAATTTAGATCTTATTTATTTTATTTGGTTTATGTTTTATACTTCTGAAAAACATTCTATAATCTGAGAAATATGTTTTAATGAGACTCAAAGCGGATGAATGATAGTTGGGTCTTGATGGTTTTCTTTAAGTTTATTAGAAGACCATAATACTGCTTAACTTAAAAGGTAACTGATAATACTTTGTAATATGTTGTGTGCTTGGTTCCTGACCTTCAGGTTTAAGGTTCCGAATTACGGCTGAAATATAGTGCATTTTACAAAGCTCTTTTACACGCATCTTATTTGATCAACACTGAAATACAGACAAATATAATCATCTCCTTTTTATATACAGGGAAACAGGTTACAACTAGAGGTTAGCAGGGCCAGAAGTAGAACATAAGCTTTGGACTTCAGTTTCTTTATTTACAATTTTAAGTAAAGTGCCTACCATATAGGACCACTGGGATGAATAAATGAAAGAATGAGTGAAGGTACCTAGAGCAAGATAGTAGACAGTAAATAAATACTGCTTGAATATAAAATGGAATTAGGAAGAGAAAAAACATGCACCTATAAATAGTTCTTCTGCTCCCCTTCTTTTCTCTTTGCTCTGATTGTATTCAAAACTTAAGATTTTACTTTGTCTTATGTTAAACCTATGTAAACTACTTTACTTTTGTTTGGAACATGTCAGCAGATAAATACAATTATTATTTTGAAAAGAAAGATGAGAACTCTGGCAGCTATATTACAGCTATGTTCTCAGTTGATGAAAGGATTCTGGTTAAGAGTCCTTCTGGGCAGTAGAGGGGCCCTGTCAATTAGTGTATGTTCCTAGAGTTTCACCGTGATTTTAAATGTTGACTTTCCCAAAAGGCAGGAGAAAGTGTCAATGTGGACTGTTTTTTGTGCTAGCCTCTTTACCTCTGTCATGAAAAAGAGAAGTTGATTGGACATATTCTGTAAAGTACTAATACTAACTCCACTGTTCTCCAGGGGCCTTCACGAAGGACCTTGGCTCCAGGTCCTCATTTCTGTCAAAGGCAAGCTCCTTCCTCACAGCACTACTGCTGCCCAGTGCCTATTACTTCTTGGTCCTCCGAGTATAATGAAGTCACCAAATCCTGTGTATTTGTACTCTTTGCTGTCTCCCTGAAATCTGCTTTCCTATCCACTTCCAGAGCCATCATGCTCATCACATTTTGCCTCGATTACTGAACCAGCATCTTGGCTAGTTCCTTTGCATTTGGTCCATTCTACATACAACTGCATGAGTCTCAGACACCTCCACTTCAACAAATCTTTCCACCTCTTGTCTAATCACACAACTTCGGAAATCCTGCTTCTTTAACTAAATCATACAGATTTCCTAAGCCAGATTATAGCTTCTTGATAGTGAAGACACTTCTTTTCTCTTCCTTTATAGTCCTCATAAGATCAAAGAGTTAATTAGAATTTATATAATTTAATGGTAGACTAGTCATGGTGTGGTTTGTAGGTTTCTGAATCTTACTCTATGAGGAAGACAGAAAATACTTGATCTAAGTTTAGTCAACCTTCAATCAGAATTAAAAGATTTCACAGATAAAAAGTAACTGGATATTGGAAAGGGTGTTAACAAGGTTCTCCAAAAGGTTAATGGGATGTCTTCTGGTAAAAACAAAAAAACAAAAAACCAAAAAAAAAAATAAACTACAAAAAAACCCAGCCACGAGCATACAAAAATGGTGGAAGAGGAATGGGTACGTGTAATGAAAAGGCCAGGGAAAAACAAGGAAGAAGTGAAAGATGGACCATCAGAAACCAAACACTGCCTGCTCACTGGGGATAGCAGCTACCATACATAACACAAGGTGGTTACTCCACTAGTTTTTGTACATGTAACTTTTCGATGACACTGTTATTAAAAATACGTAAAACATTATAAAATATTTTCAACTAACTACTCATGGGAGATAGTTAGGACAAAATTAGACAGGTAAATACCAGCTTAAATATTTTAATTACCAGAATTCAAAGAGTAAGAAAGGTAGACCTTTACCATAAAAACTCTAGACATTATTTTATTGATGCCACTGGAAGACTCACCTTGATTGATTGATTGTTTTCTTATAATTCAGTGTCACAGAATAAACCTTGAAACAAACCCTGGGAAAGCCTGTAATCTTGTGTAAAATTAGAAGAAAAATAAATATGCCACTCAGTTCTATCTCACATATTCCAACAAAGCACACAATTGATACGTAGTGAATATTATGTAGCAATGAAAATGTTGAAAGAGATAGGGAAGAAAAAGTGAGAATGCGTTGGCGGCCTAGTTCTACATCAGTGCCCTGGCCCTTGTTAAACAATCAATTCTCTTATAATAAACCATTTTGTGCAAACTATGAAGACTAAAACATCAGTTTAATAGTAGTATTCCAATTTGAAAGCTGTATAAGAAGGATATAGTTCCTTATATAAGTGTAATTAAGCACCAAACATGGCATGTTAATACAAGGAAATTGTTTTATATTACCTTATCTTTGCGCATCAAAAACAGAAGGTCTTCAGCGGAGATTACCCTTGCTCCCCGAAGCTGAGAAACTTCAGCGGCTTGCTGTAACTAATAACAAAGAGAATTTAGGATTTTTTTCTCTCCATAATCTAAATTAAGTATACTACAGTCATGATGTCTCAAGAGAGATAAATATACTAAGAGTTAAAAACCTTTGGGAATAATCTGGCAATCACATTACTGCTTTTAAAAGTGAAATGTCTTATGTTTTAAAGTAAAAAAATGCAATTAAATTAACTTATAAGCCCACCTGTAACTGATACAATAAACAGAAATCCCTGATTTCTTTCATGCAAAAGAAAAATCATGTGCAGCTTCCAGAAATGCATTAATGCACCTGAAAATAATTTTATGAAATTTTATCCTCATATCCATGTGAGCAATGGTTTCACTCAGTATCACTAGTTGAATAAGTATATTATTAATCTAAGCTCCCATGCTGGTATGATTTGAAATAGGCCCATTCAGAACTTTAAAAGATCAACAAAAACAGTAGCTGTTTCTAATATCCAAAGGAAAAAAAATAGTTTTAGTTTTGGCAAGTCTTCAGTGGGCAAAGGATTCAGTCCATAAATCATAATACTGGACTGCATTAATTTCTTTCCACACTAATCACATGCATACAAAAAGTTAACTGTATCTGGAATGCACAACACAAAACATACTGCATGAAAAGTTAGATTCCCCCTGAAATGTTCATCTGGGTCCTTATATCTACAAAGTTGAGAGTTTTCTGGAATTCAGAAGTCCTAGAAACACAATCTTACTTGAAAATGACCTGGAAAATAAAAGAATGTGAAAAATGATAGTTCTATTTTTTGGCAAAGGCAAAATTGGTTTCTTATTTTGATTAGTTGGAAGGAACATAAAATATGTCCAGATGAAAAAAATAAAGATGCTGAAGAAAACACTACAAATATGTGCCCGTAACTTCTTCCAAATTTGATCAAACCATGGTGATTGCACCACACCATCTCTATCCAGTATTATAAAAATATTTACATATAAAGGCTGTTCCTAAATGCATTCTTCTTTGAAGGGAATAAATCTAACATATTCCTGAGAACTAATCTTTAAAAAGTGACACACTGTTATCTTAACAATTATAAGGAATCAAATAGTGCATTTGTACTAGAGAAATTCTGCTCGAATGTTTAAGCGATTTTGCTAAGTAAGCTTCAAACCTTGTCTAAATACACAGACTACAAAATAGACTATAAACTCCCTATGTGTCAGCCTTACCACTGAATTTCCTGGATACTGGTGGTTGGTATATAAACATAATTCTACCTAAATATAGAAATTTAAATTTAACTGTGAGCCATTTAAAAAGAAATCTTGGGGGAAAGGTTTTAAAAAGATGATGTATCTACTCAGAAACAAAGTTTTCAGCAGGAAAAATTTGAACATATTTTTCTAAAAACTGGAAGAGTGTCAGGGAAATATGTGTACACATGTTTTTTTCAAATAAAAACATTTCTATCACAGTATAAAATACACACAATCAGTGTGGAGAAGAATATGGGCTCAGTATGCATTTAAATGTGTGGACGTATATAGAGAACATACAGGGTACCAGGAGGCAGCCCTGTCAAGTAACTTTGTATTTTCTTTCACAAAGGATGGTGAGGATTTGACAAAGTATTATACAGATACAAGTAATTTCACCTATGTTAAGAAAGGATCAGGAGAAGGATATATCCCAAAAGTTTTCCCAATTAATCACTTATCCATACTACATATCAATAAATCATCTGTATTTATCATCCTCTTCAAAATGTCAGTTTACAAACACATTAACCAGGAAAAAATAGAAAATGGAAAATAAAGACATAGGAGACTTAGACATTTTAAAACACCTTTGAAAACCAGTAGACGACTACTGTAGGGATCTGGAATTTATGTCATGGTATAATTTGCAGGAAAATTTAACTTCAGTTTTCATTTATCTGAGGCACTAATTTCCTTCACCTAACTTTGTGTCCTGACTAGCATGGGCGCTGCTAGAATTCTCCTAATACGCCCCAGACTTTCAAGAAGTGATTCCTCAGGACTGAACATGATCACTGTGCTACTTCAAACCTATCTGCCTTGATGTGCCTCATGCTCCAAAATTACCTCTCCCAAACTCTGACCTCTTCTCTATAAAGTAAGGCGAGCAATCTTATCAGCTAATTACAGTGATCACACAGTAGAAGTGTGTATTACGCACTGGCTTCCTTCTAGAAATTTTTGTCCATGCCTACCAGAAAAGAATAAGGAAACTCCTCTTTAACAATATAAAGCTTAAAAGGCTTAAAAAACAGGTTAGCGGCTTGTCAGTCCAGTTCCACAGAATGCTGAGCTCAGAACTGGTGCCTTTAATGTGAAAGCAATTCTAGAGTCAGGAAACCAAAATCACAAAATATTCCTAATAACTTCAGTGTTAAAAAAATTGATTCTATATTCTAAGAAATCCCTCGATCTCTTAATCTTTGAAACTAAATGGAAGTTGTAATTACTTCACTACTCACTGCTGCAAGTTAAATATTTCTGGTAGTAATTAGAATAACATGAAATAATGGTGCATTTCACAATTTTTTATTATAATGAAAGTAGTATATATTTAATTGTGATATAAAATATGCAAGAAATAATGGAGCACAAAAATACTTTAAGACCAACCACTAGTAGAATGAGTATACAAACTTAATTTTCTTAACTATATGGATAAAGGTATGGTAACAGCAACTTAGTACAACATTGTGCTACAAGACATTATTATTTTACCACAACAGTAACTCAGGTACAGCATGTTTTTTTCTGATATTGTTTTTCAAAGGAGACAAAAAATAATATACTTGTAACAATGGTTTAAAGATTGTTTATTTATTTATTTGACAGAGAAAGAACAGCAGATAAGGAACACAAGCAGGGGGAGTGGGAGAGGGAGAAGGCGGCTTCCTGCTGAGCAGGGAGCCTGATGCAGGGCTCGATCCCAGGACCCTGGGATCATGACCTGAGCCGAAGGCAGACGCTTCACGACTGAGCCACCCAGGCGCCCCTGTAACAACTGTTTAAAAGACAAAAGTTCCCCTTGCATATTAACACCCATCATGTCTGCATTTTAAAATATTTTATGACACTTTATTTGGAAGTTGAGCATAAAAAGGTCCTTTAAGTTTTACATGTCATCTTAAATGTCTCATCTTTGATCCCACAAATTAATCTCCTCTTAATTTCTCACTGCTCTCAATGACACTAACATTCAAACTCATTTTATTTTCCTCACTCTACTACATTTTCACTAACCTCTGTTGATTTTGTTTTGTTTTACTCTGCTCATGGTCTTGAGTTTGCTTTCTACTTCCACAGAATTCATCCTAATCTACACTTGTGGGGCTATTTGCTTACTGGTTTCAAAATTTCAGTGTCTCCAAATTGTGATGCAATCTAGATTTAAGTGCTAAAACGATCTTGGCTCAAATATAATGCCCATAATTCTTGTTCCAGGATCTATGAGAAGTCACTATTATCTAACTTCAATGTGGTCTTTAAAGCCTGTGACTCACAGATTTTCTACTGTACCCTCATTCTCATTATATTTCTTGTTTTTTTTTCTCATATTATTCTACATTTAAACTCCAATAATTTCAATTCTATTTTCACACTTTCGTGCATTTGTAATGATTAATTTTATGTGTCAACTTGATTGGGCCACAAGGTGCTCAGACACTTGGTCAAACGTTATTCTGGGTGTGACTGTGAGGGTATTTCTGGATGAAATTAACATGTGAATAGGTAAAATAAGTAGACTGCCCTCCCTAATGTGGGTGGACCTCAACCTATCAATTGAAGAACTGAATAGAACATTATTACCTCACACCTATCAGAATAGCTAAAATCAGCAACACAAGAAACAAGAGGTGTTGGCCAGGATGTGGAGAAAGGGGAATCCTCTTGCACTGTTGGTGGGAATGCAAATTGGTGTGGTTACTCTGGAAAACAGTATGGAGGTTCTTCAAAAAGTTAAAAATAGAACTACTCTATGATCCAGCAATTGCACTACTAGGTATTTAACCAAATAATACAAAAATACCAATTCAAAGGGATACCCGCACCCTGATGTTTATAGTATCATTATCTACAATTGCCAAATTATGGAAACAGCCCAAGTATCCATCGACTGATGGATAAAGAAGATGAGGTATATGTATATAAAATGCAACATTACTCAGCCATAAATAAGAATGAAATCTTGCCATTTGCAGTGACATGAATAGAGCTAGAGAGTATTACGCTAAGCAAAATGAGTCAGTCAGAGAAAGACAAATACCACATGATTTCACTCATATGCTGAACTTAATAAAGAAAACAAACAAGCAAAGGGAAAAAAAGAGAAAGAGGCAAACCAGGAAACAGACTCAACTATAGAGAAGAAAACTGATGGTTACCAGAAGGGAGGTGAGTGGGGGGATGGGTGAAATAGGAGATGGGGATTAAGGAGGGCACTTGTGATGAGCACTGGGTGTTGTATGGAAGTGCTGAATCACTGTACTGTACACCTGAAACTAATATTACACTGTATGTTAACTGGAACTTAAATAAAAACTAAAAAAAACCATAAAGGCCAAATAAAAGGGAATGGAACGCTTTCTGCCTACCTTGAAATGGAACATCGGTCTTTTCTAGCCTTCTCACTTGGACTAAAACAGCTCCTCCTGTTTTTCAGGCTGGACTCAGGCTGGAATTAAATTTCACCTCTCCTGGGTCTCCAGCTTGCCAACTACAGAACTTGGAACTCCTCAGCCTCCATAATCATGGGAGCCAATTCCTTACTATCTATCTAATCTATCTATCTACCTACCTACCTACCTACCATCTTTCTATCCATCCGTCCATCCATCCACACCCCCCCACACCCCCTCCCCCACACCCCTTATTGGTTCTGTTTTTCTGGAGAGCCCTAATATAGAACTATACTCAAATTATGAGAAACTCTTGATTCTTTATGGGATGCAGCACTTTCTTCTTTAAAATACAGGTTTCAAAATAATTTTATCAAAGAA